AGCCTGCGTAAATTCAAATATATCATTAGACTCGTGAAAATGTCAATTATTAAGTTGGAATATATGTATATGTATACGTTATATACATTGTAATTCGTTACTTCTGTAACTATTAATTCTCTAGTTGCGCACCACGTACCGCGCTTGACTCGTATCGCCGTCTTTTACTTAATTTATTGACATTTTCACGAGTCTAATGATATATTTGAATTTACGCAGGCTGAAACATGCGCTTGTTAAACTTATCAACGCGGTTATTGCGATAAATATTACCACATGCCTCGGTAATCGAATTGGTACCACGCCCTTCACGGAATGAGGGAGGTTCCAGGTTCGAATCCTGGCTGAGGTAATATTTTTCGCAATAATTTCTTTACAGTTTTTTAAATAATTAAATCGTATAGATTTAATTCCGGGGAGGGAAGGGTATTAATGTTCCAACGATAGCTGTGTTTCAAGTCCGACAAATAATCGGCGCGCAGTTTATTAAGTTGGAATATATGTATATACGTATATAAATTGTAATTCGTTACTTCTGTAACTATTAATTCTCTAGTTGCGCACCACGTACCGCGCTTGACTCGTATCGCCGTCTTTTAATTAATTTTTTAATAGCCTTGTTTTTCTTAATTGCGCTTTTGCATTATTTTCTATTTTTTAACATTTTACACCCCGAAGTATATACGTAGAAAGACAATTCTTACCATTTAAAATAACGCTGACATCGTATCGTATTATACAAATCAGAACGTTGCCTATTTTTGCATGGTTTTTTTTTTTTCAATTTCGGATCTATTTATACATGGAAATTTTGCTGAGTGTATATATCCATCGTGTGTACTTTGCCGAGCAATACGATAAGAAGATTGAGTAACTCGACATTCGGCATTCCGACGTTCGAAAGTTCTTACGTTATCTAATTTACCAGCGGAAGTCGTGTTTTTTCTAAGACGAGCATTACGCGATTTTACATCTCGACGCCACGCCGCGCCGAGTCGATACGTCAACGCCGTACGTCTCGGTTTAGTCAAGACGGTTCAAGTCAAAATTTAGTTGAACCTCTTCTCGTACTCCATCGGGGTATCCTTTTTCGTGCACAGCTGTTTATCTAGCACGAATACTTTTCGAGTTATCAGTTTTTCCCGCGAAGCGTTCCGACCGCTTATCTGCTACGTCAACTTTCTTGGGCCGTTCTCGTCCTTTTTACGTGACCCTGGATGTATATAACAATGTGGAAGAATATCGTATCCTCTCCCGCACCTCGCGACAGCGCGAGAACAGAAAAGATTCTGTGGACAATAAAACGGAGACTTTTCGGATGAGAGGAGGTGTCTGTTGTGTATGTGTTCCGTTCAAACGCTGCAAAAGTGCCCAAAGAATACTGCGCTCAGTAAATTTTCGCTGGCCATTTACGCAATATTTTACGACGTAAATGGCAACTTTTGGAGATCATACGATCGATGAATTTATCAAAAGTCCCGTGAAAAGTGTTGCAGCGATAAGTATTGTGGCCTTGTGTTGCAAAATGGAGTTGAAAGTGAATGGAATTTTTTGCAGTGATAAAACATAAAATAAGGATCAAACATGTTGTTTCACAATTTTAGAGACTTGCAAGAGAAAGAGAATATTCTTATTTGTACGATTATCCAAATTATCTACTTGCTAATAAAAACTAACTTGCTAATAATACATGATAATGGAGTGACGTATTTCTCTTAGTCTCCCCTATGTGTTCCAACACCATGTGCAAAGTACGTAAATACTATTTACAAAAGTGCATTGCACTATACTACCAGTGAAAATTAATTATTGGCGCACCGTTGCGCCTACTAATAGAAATGAATATGAACGAAAAGTAATTACAAAGACAGACGAAATAGGACACGCCTGCACGGCCTGCATCTTCTCGAAACGCCGTGTTAAAAGAGTATTGCTAGACTATATGCTTCATCAATTTCACTGTTTCTCCTTCTTGGTGTCCAACGAAACCGTAGAAACATCTGCCTCTTCCAGGAAGGTGATCTCGAGATAATGCCGCATATATGAAAACGCGCTGTGTACATAAAAAGTTGCTGCTCGCCTCCAGAACGAAGACACGTTTTTCTCCAATTCCGTGAATCGCCCATACATTTCCCTTTTTTCCCTTTCGCTTCTTTCACTTTGCGACAGATCTCGTCCAGAATTTTTCCACAATGGCCCCTTGAAATTTCACGCACTAGGGGCATCCCGTTTTTTTTCCTTCTCTATAGGTTTGATGTCAGATATTACGAAAAAAATTTTTCACGATGTAAAAGTTCAACTTCTTTTCCTTCGTTCGTTCATCTCGCTCTTTCCTTCCTTCCGCTCGGCTTTAGAATTTCTTATCGTAAGAGGAAGTTGATAGAAGAATTTAATCAAAGCCGCGAGAGTACATCCGTTTACGAAGCGTTCTTCTCCGAAACCACCAATATGGGTCACTCGACATTATGTCTGTTTAACATAATACAGTGAAAATATTTTATTAATATGATCATTATTCGACTAAACGTATTGGTTTAGGATTTTCTCCTAACATAAAAGAATATATGTTTTGTGATATTAAATCAATGACATTGTATTATCTATACCCGGCCTTTTCCCACAGCTAGCATCTAACGGCCATGTGCCACTAAGAAATTACGAAGTGATAACAGCGTATAGTTTATTATTTCCTCTGGACGAAGGCGGGCGTCTTTTTTCGGCATCCGGCTATTTAAACCATTTGAATTATGCCACACGGATCTCCCCTATCGTAGCTTCGATTCGTATCTCTTCGCGCCGCTCAATATCTCCAACTTCCTTTCTTGTTCGACACGTTCATCACAGTTTTCCGCGGAAACCAAGTTTACGCATACGCGTCATACGAATCATTCATAATTAATAGTTTACATAGTTCGCCGAAAATTTCGAGATCAATTTTGAACGTAAAGGAAGATAGCATCAGGTGTCACGTTGGAAATAAGCGTTATGATAAAAAGTAGCCACTTTCCAAGTTATATCTGCTCTCCGATCGTTATGTATCGCAAAAGATAGTGAACTATTCAAGGAGTAAAGTTTTAAAGTTCTAAAGTTCTTAAAGAAAATAGCCGAATGATCCGGGGAGACACGATTGATCTATTTCTTCTTTTTCTTCTTGGATTTCCGTCTGTTACGGACTGATCTTAACAGCTAGTCTGTTAAGATCACCATGGTTCAATCGATATATTTTTCGCGCAACCAATTTACTGTCACTGGACCCGAGCGAAGAAGACAAAGGGCAAGGACCCCGGGTGGTGGGGTTTAGGGCCTCCCTTGCGTTCACAAGATGTTCTGGAAAGCCGACGATGAGGCCGGCGTAGCGGCTATTATATGAGCGCAGGTGTCGGTGCAGATGTCGCGTAGCAGACGGCCCGCCACGATCGCACGTCCCGCTTGCGGTACCGCGTCTCTCGAAATTTTAATAAAACGCGAGCGAAAGAGAGAAGCTAGCCGGTCCCGTATATTTGCCTCACGACGCGAACCCGGGTGTTGCGACTGTACAAACACGCATGCACACACGGTTTCAGCGCCATGCATTCTTGTCTTCGCGCATTTCTGCATAGATTTGAATGCGGATCTGATGTCGAGGATCTCGTAGAGACAAACTAAACAATCAGTGATCGGAATCAGCGAGCGGAAGTAAGACCTGTCGTAAGGTTCGGGCTTAACGCTGGGATTCTAACTACTTTGTTCTAAATGGTTACTTATTAAATATAAGTTTTTTCTTACGATTTGCATTAGAAGATTAAGTTTTTCTTTACGATTTGCATTCGAAAATTAAACTTCTATATAATTATATTAAAATTATATAGAAGTTATATTAAAATTTATATAGAATAATATGGTGTCTCTCTCTCTCTCTCTCTCTCTCTCTCTCTCTGTAAAATTATTCCTGGCAGGGAGATTGAAAGCTTATTGAAACATACAGTTCTTGTGCTATTAGGAAATTTATGTCTATGTTTGCCGCGTTTATTACACGTAACTGTTGAACTCTCTATTGATTTGGAGATACTTAGAAAAATTGAAATAGAAGTGTCAAGGTTTTCTCTTTTTCTTGTCGAAGAAATTGCCGTGTTTCCTTACTTTTTAATTTTATTACTTCCGCCGACAATAAGAAAAAATTTTGTTTCAGGTAGAAGTCGAGATGTTGTGATGGCTGGTAGGTCACGACGTTCGAGCACAGAGCTCGAACCAGATTTATCGGCGCCAACTGCCCCAAAGAAACCCAAGCAATCCGAAACCTCGTCCGAATCGTCTGGAGAGGAGCACTTAACGGAAGTGGAAAGTACCGAGGCGCCGCCGACCACGAGTGAGATATCTTTGCAGGCGGAGGTTGTGCTCGTCCGGGAAGGGGACAAACGACTCTCAGATGTTACGGAGGAACAGGCGGGAACGTCGAAGCAATCGGTTTTGATCGGCGAAACGTCCCCCCCGGAATCGACCGAGACGGATCTCCCCGAGCGAGAGAGCGAGACCGCGCCGATCCCGAGTACCTCGAGAGAAGAACCCGAAGAACAGCTCGGCACGCTGAAATCCATTGTAATGAAGTACAGCGATCAGGGCGAGCTCTCTGGTCCGTCCGGGAAAAGATCGGAGGAGACGACGATACAAAGTTTCTTACTGCGCGAACATGCGTCGTACGAGGACCTGTCCCTTATCGGGAACGGCGCTTACGGGACGGTGTACAAAGCTAAGGATAAGACTAGCGGTCAAATCGTAGCACTTAAGAAAGTCAGGATACCTTTGACGGAGGACGGTCTGCCTATGTCCACGCTAAGAGAGATTGCCGCCCTGAAGTCGCTCGAGCGATATGAGCACCCACATATCGTAAGTACCTTTTAATCACAATATAATCTCTATTAATAAAATAACTACGTACCACGAATATATTGCGAAATCTTCAATATTCTGCATTTTCTAGCAAAAATAGGATATTGTTATTCATTAATTATGTTCCTAATACTTAATAACGTAAATGTAACATAAATACGATATATATGTTTGCTCTCTTCCCAGGTCAGATTACTGGACGTCTGCCAAGGAGATTATCTTGATTTACCGTCGGGTGACGGTGAACGATCCGAAAGGCTGGACCGTGGTCTCACCCTCTGGTTGGTGTTTGAACACGTTGAAAGAGATCTCGCTTCGTACATTGCTCAGCATCGGAATAGCTCGCCACGATCGGGCATCCCGCCGTATCTCGTGAGGCAAATGTCGAAAGAGATACTCTGCGGGGTAGAGTTCCTACATAGCCATAGAATAATACACAGGGACTTGAAGCCGCAGAACCTTTTGGTAACGCGGGAAGGGAGAATCAAGATCGCGGATTTCGGTCTGGCTAAGACCTACGACTTTGAGATGAGATTAACTTCCGTGGTACGTGGACAGATATAGCATATACAACGTATTACAAATTATGTCGACCACAAATATCTCGACAAATTCAGATTATATTTTGATTGATTACAATATTTGAAATTAAAATTGAGCTTATTTATTATAATCTTTTCTTTAATGAGATTAAAGTGATTTAAAATCAATCGAAAAATATTGGTTTATTGATTTATACATATATTTATATTTTAACCTTTTAATTTTAAATATTAAATTTATCAATAATAATGTATAAAGACAATCGCCGTTTTGTGTTTTACTTTGGTAGCTGTAGTTTAAAGAAAATAAGCAATGTTTGATATATGTATTATTTAATATCGCTATTAATAAAACCTTGTGATATTTTGTACATCTATAGGTTGTAACCCAATGGTATCGAGCACCTGAAGTACTTTTAGGATGTTCCTATGCTACTCCTGTAGATGTTTGGTCTGTCGGATGCATACTGGCAGAACTTTGCAAGCTGGAACCGTTATTCCCAGGTACCAGTGAAGGCGATCAACTGGACAGAATTTTCCAGTGAGTTACACTTTTCTATACTTTTTTCAGAATAAAATTTGCATCTTCCAATATTTTTCTATACATTTCGCGCCCTTCCGTTTTTTAGAGTTTTGGGTACTCCGTCGCAGCAAGCGTGGCCAGAGAATGTATCGCTCAGTTGGACAGCTTTCCCATACAGACAACCCAGACCTCTCGGTGCAATAATACCAGATCTCAGCGAACATGGATTAGACTTAATAAGGAATATGCTCATGTTTGATCCTCATAGTCGTATAACTGCAGCTCAAGCCGTAAGACACCGATACTTTTCCGAGGAGGGCGTACAATGACTGTTCCATAAGTTATGTAGACTTATTGCTGGATTAATCTGGCAAACTCAGACTGACATAATTATATTCAGGAAGAGAAGTATATATATATATGTATAATGTATATGTATGTATATATATATATATATATATATATATCATTTAAACCTACTACAACAGTATAAAATATTATAGTACACACGTAGAATTACTAGTAACACGTTGATTATTAAATATCTAATCCGAGTATTAACGATCACTCGTGCGTATAAATGCTACAATATTATAAATTCAATTAGCATTTAAATTTGTTATATCGTATTAAATAGTCATTATACATATCCCTTACTTTTACACAACTAGCCTTGCGTAATTAAGTTATTAACAGTAAATATATAACAACTTAATAAGTTTAAGAAATAAGCTCCATAATATTTAAGTTAATTTATCCTAGGTACCTTTATGTACAATGTGAAGATGAGACGATTATTATTATTATTTTTGATATGTTATTTATTTACATAATAATGTCTTAACGTTTCAGTCAGTTGTCTTTTTATAATGACGTTATGAATTATACCTCTCAGTAACTTTTTTTTTATTTCACAGCAGTTATTACTTAGCGGTTAATAGTTTAATTGTATGCACGACATTTGCATTAGTTACGTAAAATACGCGTAGTTGCGGCAAATCCTATTAGAGATACAAAAAAGCGATCATATGTATGACATACCTAACTTAAGTTTTGATTCGATGTGAAATTAGTGTAAATTTAATTGTAAGATAACGCTATGTATATTTTTTTTATATAAGTAGAATTACTTTTCTAAGACTGGGGCCTTTTGCGACCCATTAGGGACACGGGAATGATTTAAAGATCTTCCGAAGAAAACCAGAAAGCGCACTGCCATTATACTTTGTATGTACCATATGAGCCATTGCAATCATTAATAGCGTATTTTTATTACTGTACAATATCGACGACACGTGTATAAAGCAATAAGTAACAATAATATTTATGTGCCCTTAGGGTGCATTATTGTGTTAAGAATGTCGAAAATGGATAAGCGTATTATTAAGAGAAGACTGTCCTATGAAATAAAAGTTTTATAGTTTTACATGCAGGACTCTGGCCTGTAAGTCTGTAATCTCCCCGTGATATGTTCATCTGTAAACTTGCCGACTTTTTACAATGTCGTAAAGAAATGTGGAAAGCGAAAAAGGAAAGAGCGTGCGTTTAGTTGGTTCTCAGCAGTAGTCTGGATTTGAAACTCGCGCCTCGAGATCTCGATCGTGGCTGCATGGACGCGAACGTCGCGACCTTCGGACCATAATAAAATGGAATCCAGATAAAGTAAATAAGGCATCGAAACGTAAACGCGAAGCTGACGATACGCACGTTACTGACTGTCGTAGTCGCGACAGCGATTTTCGACATGAGATTGCTATCGAACGTCATCGCAAATGCGTGCAAACATTTGACAGTTGGTGGTAACCTGCAGGTCTGCATCGCCGGCACCGCGGGATCCGCCAGTTACAGAAAAATGGCGACCGAGGTGGAGAAGGCGCAGGCCGCCGCGCCGGAAGGTGACACGATATTTGGGAAAATAATACGTAAAGAAATCCCATGTAACTTTATTTACGAGGACAGCCAGGTAAGCAGTGGCATAGCACACGAAGATTTACGTCCTTTCTGTTGAATTACGTGACAAATCCGACTTACCGGCGTCATTCAGACGCTTGCATTTAAGCTTGTTATCGAAAATATCAAACGTTATTTTGGTGCGATATTGCTTGTCTTAATACAAAAAGTGTGGCTAAAGCGAGTGATTGTATTATATGTCATCTAGTCGTAGTCGCAAAGTATATCGCATTTACGTATGTATGCAGCAAAAATTCTGCGTCCAATTATCTAAAATGATTTGCTCTTCTGTCTATAAATTATTACATAATCACACTTGCTCGAGTCTACCGAGTTATCATAGTAAAGATGTTGACTTGTTATTTTAGAAAAATTATAGATTGAAATATTGTCATAGATATTATATGTATGAACTATTTTTTTTTTTATATATTGGTAATTGCTTAATGAACGACGATAATGAAACGTTTAAATAACACATTTTTATTTAATAAAAATTATATTCAGTTATTTTTATTTAATAGAGCGCTGATATTAAGATGTTTTATGATTTACAGTGTGTTGCGTTTGATGATGTAAGTCCTCAAGCACCCGTGCACTTTTTGGTAATTCCACGAAAGCCGATTCCGCAGCTCTCGAAAGCTCAAGATGAGGACGAACCTTTGCTCGGTCACCTAATGAACGTCGCTCAAAAAGTTGCCAAGCAAAAAGGTCTGACGAATGGATTTCGCTTGGTTGTCAACGATGGAAAACACGGTGCGCAGTCTGTGTACCATCTGCATCTGCATGTTCTTGGTGGTCGGCAGTTACAGTGGCCACCCGGCTAAAGTGTTATACATTTGAACATAAATTTGATTTCCATTATGAAGTCTTTATCTTCTGTTATAAGTATCGATAAAAGTGAAAATACATGATTAAAGGATATTGCATAATAAAATACGTATTATTATCAATAATATGTATTTATTATGTACTTATACATATATTAGAGAGAATATGATTGACAATATCATTAATATTATAATCGCGTTTCTCGCGATTTTTATAGATGCAAAAGATATGTTTATAAAAACGGCCTCATTTATTTATGGTTTTAATGATTGGAAGAAGTAGTTCTGTTGTTTATCTTCTTTCATACACTTCATATACAAATTCAATTCCATTTTCTTCCTGTGTACCTTGTGGTACCGCTGGATCCCTGGAAATATTATTAGCTATTGAAAGACGGTGACATATGAATGTGAAACATAAAACCCAACAGAGAAATATTAATACTTACTCAATTGACACGAAGTCATTCGGAATAAGGGGAAAGAACGTATCGCATTCAAATTTTTTCTTTATACGCGTCAGGTACAATCGTCCAAAGTGTGGAGATTCCATAGCGCTCTAATATAAAGTTATACAATAATTGTTATATCTAATTTAAATTTATATTGCTAATATTTACGCCTTCATTACCGTATTAGATTTGTGTTCTTTTAGTCGCACTTTCTTAAAATTATTTCTCTTTCCTCTGTCCTTGAGTCGCGAGTACTCGTTTTAAGTTAAATGTAGAAAATATTTATAGCATCGCATTTAAAAAGGACAGACCTATTTTTTTCAAAATTACGTTAATTCATTGTACAAAATACCTTGTACACGCTACTTCCTCCTATTACCCATATCCTTTCTACTTGATTCTGCATTTCTGAAATCACGTCAAGAGCGTGTGGTATACTCTTGCACACTATCGCCTCGTCTCCGCAATTCCTAAAATTGATATACGATCTCTTATCTTCTGAAGAATTAACATTTCTTGATATCTCATTTCACCTATAATTACAATAATTGCGAAGTCAACACCATGTTTATGCGGTTCTTCAGAGGTCGATACTTCCCGGGGATACACTCCCACGTGCGCCGGCCCATAAGTACGACGTTCCTTTTATTTCTGTCCTTTGTGTCAGTCGTCATGCGCGTGAAGAACGCCATTTCCGTCCTACGTACGAATACCTGGTTTAAATGTTTCTTCGAGCTCAGTCACGTATATAATTTATTAACAATCTTACTTTAAACGCCAAGGTAAATTGCCATTTGCTCCAATGCCCATATTTTCGCATGCTGCAGCGATTAGCTCCAATTTAGGTGGCATATTGAGATACACTCTCGAGTAAATCCGGTGCAACAGTCCTGGACCATGCGATAATATCATTAAATTCCGTTTTTTTTTTTAAATCATAATGGCAAAAAAGGTTTTATTTGCAGTTTTGTTACTCCATTAAAGTAAAATTTTTAATTTAGTATAGGAAAAAAACGAAATATTAATATTGATTTTTCAATGTAATTACGAGTTTAAAAAAGCGACAATCACTCAGATGTATCAGATACGATTACAAATCATAACATAGTCGCTTTAATTTATATCTTATCAAGCAATCAAGAAAATTACAATTCCTTTCACTTTGTCAATGTCAATGACAAAACTGCTATAACTCGAAGTCTCTTGAAAATTTGCTTGAAAAAATATAAGCTTTATCTCTCTAATTATATTATAATAACTATAAAAGAATTTATAAATTGTATTTAGCAATCATATATTTTGAGGCAAGAGCCTTAAAATTTATGATTTTTCAGAAAAATTTGCATATTTTTACTTCTATTCTTAATTTTCTATCAGATATTTTCTCAGTTATACTAAAAATCCGTTTGGTTTTTACAGAAGATGTTGGCATACAAATACTTTTACACAATTCCTATTATGTTTTGTAATCAAGATTCCATAGTTCACTAGTATGAGATTCTTAAGGTGATCCTAAAGCCGTGATCCTAGCCGGTTTTTTTCAGTTTTTTT